AAAAAAAAAAAAAAGCCCCTCACACGTAATTTAACCAAAGTTTGTTCAAAGGTTAAAACTCTTTTTATATTGTCTTATTCTTTCTAAAATATTGCATTATGATATATCTTAGCTTTGAACTTAGCTACAAAACCCAATATAAATGAAATTGTAGATTTGTAAGCTGACATTTTTCTTCAAGAGCTATGTCAGTCCATCATACATTCTCTGTCATGATTTTATAGAATCTCTGAAAGTACCAATTAGGAATTTGACTCTATTCATCTAAAAATTTTGGTTTCAGAAAAAGACTAAATAATTACATGTTTACTGAGTGCCTAACATGTTCCAAGACACTTAAACAAAACTTAAGCACAATCAATGCTCCAAACTTACTTGTTATTATCTTGAAAAAGGGAAGCTCTGTGTCTCCCCAAGCGTAGAGTAGTTTGTCTGCTACACAGTTCTTAAATATTCTCTTGAACTTTCTTGTCGACATATTGTAGAACTATTAGTTTTATAATATATGAAGATGAAAATTTAAGGCAAATCATAATAGATTATCCGCAGATAATAGGATAGATCCATGGGAAAATTTAAGGACTATGCTAATAGATTATCTCTGTATTCTTGTTCACCTGAGAAAATGATTACTAATAAGAATTTAATATCTGTTTAACTGAACTATCGTAAGGGCAGGTATTACATGATAATTTAGTAATGTTTTAACTGATTTGCAATACCTCCTGCATTAATCTCCACTTAACATTAAACAAACAATTGTTGGACACTGACTATGTGCCAAGCTGTTCTAGATACTAAGCTACAGAAATGAAAAAAAAAAGACACAAATCCTTTCCCTTCCAGAGCTTATGTTCCGGGGGTGCTGACAGATAATCAACAAATAAGTAAAATATCCACATGCTTAGATGTTGACAGAACTAGGGAGAAAAATAAAGAAGGTTTGGTTGGAGGGAGCTGAAAATTTGAGTAAGATGGTAGGAGAAGACTTCACTGAGAAGGTGGCATTTAATGAAATCTGTAGGAGGAGAGGGAATGAACTATGTGGATTTCTCAGGAAAAACACTCCAGGTGGAGTGCATTTGGCTGTTGTGTTTAAGAAACAGCAAGAAGCCAGCATGGCTGGAGGAGAGAGGGCAAAGGAGAGGACGTTAGCAGGTAGCAGGGCTGAGCCATGGTAAGGGTTCTGACTTCTACTATACGTGAGATGGAAAGAGTTGGAAGGTCTGGAGCAGAGTCAGGCCTGGCAGGCCATATTGCAACTGGGTCACTCTGGCTGCTGTGTTAACAGACTCTGTGGGAGGAGGAGGAAATGAGGACACCGGTTGGAAGCCTATCGCAGAATCCACGTGAAAGATCTAGCTGTCTTGGGCCAAGGTGGCAGCAGTGGTGGTTGTGAGAAGTAGTTACGTTCTGGGTATGTTCTGAGGGTACAGCAAAGAGTATTTGCTGATGGATTGGTTATGGGATGTGTGGGAAATTTCAGCTAAGATGCTAGGTAATCTTGTTTGATTTTCTATTATCTTACTCCTTGCTTGGAATATAAATTCCAGGAGGTTAGAAAATTTATTCTTTTCACTTCAATACTCCAGAATCCCCAGTTCAATACTATCTACGCATTAAATATTACTGAATTAACACACAAAATCACACAAAGGGAGGGGGCATTAGTTTTATTTTAAGCTCTCTGAATAAAAAATTTATATTGTTGCATAAATTCTATATACTCTGGTTCTAGTAATGGTTTCTGAAGAGAAATCGGTAACCAGGATCGATTCTAAGTTCATAAAGACAGAATTACTCTTAATGGACTCAAATGATAGTAACTGATCAATGCCATAAAGTTTTCTCAAAGCAGATCTCAGAATCTGCTCCAACGATTACATTTTAACCTCTGTTGAACGGGAGTCAACATAGCACCTATGCATCTTATGAATACCTCTATAAGAAAGGAGAATAACTCTTTCTCCATGACAACTGGATACCTGTCCAGCTCCTGAAACTTCTGAAAACTCCATCACCCATAAATAAAGCACAAGGATCTCTCTCTACTTAACAGCATCACCACTAGTGGAGGAATTTTAACATGGACTGTGGTGATCCTGTACATACTAAAATCATGCTTAAAAAGCTAACAGGGGCTGGGTGTGGTGGCTCACGTCTGTAATCCCAGGACTTTGGGAGGTCAAGGCGGGCAAATCCCTTGAGGCCAGGAAAATCAGACCAGCCTGACCAATGTGGCAAAATCCCATCTCTACTAAAAATACAAAAATTAGCTGGGCGTGGTAGCACATGACTGTAATCCCAGCTACTTGGGAGGCTGAGGCATGAGAATTGCTTGAACCTGGAAGATGGAAGTTGCAGTGAGCCGAGATCATGCCACTGCACTCCTGGCTAGGTGACAGAGCAAGACTGTATCAAAAAACAAACAAACAACAACAACAAAAAAGGGTAATAGGGCAGAAAAATAAAAGGGTCCTATTAACTATTCCATTTTTCTGAGATCCTCTCCATTACTTCCTTTGGCTAACTCATCAAAATGTATTCTAAAAATACAGCAAGTGACATTCTATTAAATAACTTACATTGCCAATTATGGCAGACTCACACAATAAAAAGCACAACCACTGTGCTAATTTGTTACTAAATGGGATTATACAGAGTGGAGTGTTTAGAACACTGCCTGGCCCATAGTTAGTGCTCAATAAATACTGTTTATCATTATTGCGATTATTTCACTGAAGATTATAGAGTAAGGAAAATCGGCAAATATTTATTATGTGTTTGTTTTACTCTTAGCACTGTGCCATGTGTTGGGATACAAAGAATTAGAGACCACAGTCATATTCTTTGGAAGCTTAAAATACATACAACCAGAGATAGAAAATCTAAATAGATAAAAATTCAGTAGTGTATAAAACAGCAGTAGAATGTGAACTAAAATGTGATAGTTATACAAGATATAGTATATAGTGAAAGGATGATACATTTCCAAAAGGAGATTTCCTAGGAAGCCCTTAAAAGAGAAGGACTGGCACTAATTGTGACACAGTGCTAGGAGTATAAAGAACAACAGGGCAGTAAATGTATTAGCCCGAACTAGGATAACGGCAGAGGCAGCTGATATAATGGCATAGACTCTTATCTGAAATAAGAGTCTGCTAGATTTCTGACTAGATGGATTCAGGGTTAGAGTATGTCAACTTCTACCTACCTACTAGGCTAGTTAATAGTAGATAGTTGAAGCTCCAGTTAGAGAACTAGGCTGAGTCCAGACTGACCACTGGGTGGCTACAAGTGGCCCAATATGCCAGGATGGAGACTAGTCAGTGGACAGTATTGGGCCAGTCAAGGAAGAAAGAATGTTTTATTCTGCAAAAGATCTAATAGCTAAGCTGCTAGCAGAAAGAACCTAGAGTCTCTAGCAGAAGCATCAAAAATGACTGAAATAATGTCTTGGGGCCAAAAAAAAAAAAAAAAAAAAAAAATTGGTGCAATTAATTGGGACACAGAAATTACCAGGATGAGTCAGTTTTGGAATGAAAGAAAATGAACAATTTAGTTGTACAGAAGTAGAGTTTCGAAAAACAGGCAGGCATCTACTGCCTTACGAGTAGCTGGAAATGTGGAATCCATATTTAAAGAGGAGAGTGAACCTGTGAGAACAAATGAGATTCACCACCCCACCCGTGGAAAACACAAAATTAAATCTTAGACAAGAGATAGTGAAAAAGATGCAGAAGTCAAGAGACAGAATTTGAGGGGATAGAATCAGATGGAATAGGGTGGTTAGAGACTTTTCCACGAAGAAAAATAAAGCTTTCAGAGTACAAGTGCCCAACAAAACTGACAGAATAATCTCATACATGAAGAATTATGCCTGATTTTGTGAAAAACTGAAGGATAATGCAGAAAGAGCAGGCCACATGACATAATCCTACTATAAAAGCATCAAGGCATGACTCAGAGATTTAACCCACAGAAAATTATTAATAGGTCCTTTCTGTTTGCAAAATAGTACAAACATGCCATACCACCAATAACAAAATAATCAGACCTTTATTCTCCCTCTCTCTACTTCGCTTTTTAAAATATGTGGATTAAAACAATCTCTAATGATTTCAATGTTAACTTCAACCTACATCCAACAGTAAATAACCAATCTCACTGGCTATTCATTTTAACTGTGCTTTGCCAGCATTTGTGGAATGGTGTCCAATTTTTTTAACTTGAAAACTTAAAAGTTTGAAAGTCAGTAAGAGTTGACATTACCAACTGTTTTTTTTTTTTAATTAAGCACAGTTCAAAGATTTCCTTAATATTAAGTGGCAGCTTTTAAACTTTTTTTCTTTAAAAAAAAATTTCCACTGCTGTCATAGCTTCTGTTAAAGCACAGTTTATAGATAGTTGATCAGGTGTGCCCGTTGATATTTTTTTGGTTCTGAAGTTGTTTTTTTTACAGTATTAAAACTTTTTTTATTTGAATAAGTGGGGAGAAGAGAAATATATTTCAGCACTTAGATATACAAATTATTTCCAAAACAGTTTAACACTCAACTAGTCGGTTCTATCAAAATCAGTTTTCCCTGGAACAAGCATTGTTCCCAGCTACAAGCGATCCTCATTTCGCGTGGTACTGTGGGACCATAAAACGGCCCTGAAATCTTAATAATCAATGGGGAAAATGATTGCTCCATGACCTTTAAGATTCTGTTAAAATATTAAAAATTCTTAAGATCAGTTATAAATGTAGGAAAAAAATGCAAAAATGTTTAAAAATATTTAGTACACTGTAATTTAAAACATTAGAAATAGAACTAAAGTGGTTTATTTCATTGTAAAAACGAAGTAGTTTGAATAGAGCTTGCCTTTTTTTCTGGCAAGTAACTTATGATACTGAGGGAGCATCTTTTATGTTCACGGCAATCATACTTCTTTTAAGTTTGGGTCAGCTTCCACCCTTTTATTGCTTGTGCTTTCAGTGTTGTGATATATTTCTATATTCACATTAAATATCCTTTAATGTAAAGTTTTGTTTTTTTTTTTAACCATCACTTCCTCTGGGACACATTTGTCTTTATTGCAACCACGTTTCTTATTTGTGTTGATAAGTTTGCCTTCATTAAGCTCCTATGAATGCACAGCAGAAAGAACAATATTCCCATGGTCAGTGACTTCTACAAATTCATTTATGTTTGATTAAAATTTCACTTCCAGTGTTATCATTTTTCATTGCTTTGCTGCACTTTCATCTTTGTTGGCCAGTTCTTTTGAGTGTTCACTTCTATAAAATGTCCAGTGGATGACAAAGAGACAGCATAACTACGTGCTCTGCTGTAAGTGAACTGAATAACAGATACACAGGGACAAACCACTGGAAGAATCTGAAAGTAGTCAACATGACTGGTCATTAATCATGAAGTATATCTGTTATTTACATAGCGATTTGTAGACTGAAGAACTAGCAGAGAAGTTTGTACTTCATGTAATTACTCAGAGTTATACTGTGCTAACTAAAATTTTAACCTAGATTTTAACAACAGTTTCCTTACCAGTTTCCTTTCCTTCCTGTTAAGGAAACTGGTGTTTAAACTAAATCTGGGTCACTGAAATTTGTGCCCAAGGGAAACATGCAAATAGAGGACTGCCTACACCCTACTTGTTTATATTGATCCAGACAGGCTTAATAGGCTGAAAAATAGCCTATCTGAATTTATATCAAATAGTGAATCTTAAAGCACCCAAGATGAAAAATTAGGGTACACTGAGGTGGTTTTAAAATCTTTGTCATATGACAATCAAGCTTAAAATGTATCTTAGAGTAACAGAATTTTAGAAATAATGACCTTTAAAGGCCCCATAGTTTGGTACCACAGATTATCCAGCATGTTTATTATGAATTATTTCTCCTCCTTCAATTTCAATTTGCTCATACAGCCACTTGTGGTAACAGCGGCATTCAGCTCCACACTTGGTAGAACCACAGGCAGGACAAGCATAGAAACATCCTAAGCAATCTTCATCGAGGCAGTCACAGAGGTCCATCCCACTAAAAATCAGGAGACCTTGGCTATCACAGACCTTACTCTTTGCTGTTATCACTTGTCTGTCTGAACTAGCGGTTGCATTTTTTGTAAGCCTTCTTTTTTCTCTTTTACCAGTTTCTGGAGCAAATCCAGTTTGCCTCCCTGGATTTGTAAATTGTAGTGACCTCAAAGCTTTAGCAGTTCTTCCATCTGACTCAGGTTTCCTTTTCTGGCAGTCTTCAGTATCAACATCCACACTTCCATTGATTATCTGTGTGCATTTTGGACAAAGCTTCCAACCAGGTACAAGCTGTCTTCCGAATTTTGCACTCAGAAAAGTGGCATCATCTAAGTCAATTATGTGCAAATTTTTTTTGGCTAATTTTTTGTGTATGTTAAATGGGTCATAACATGACTTCTGTAAATCCTCAAATCTGTCAATGTAAATTTTTACATGATGAAAGCAAATTGCATTGTTCCCAGAAAGTGTCATTCCAGTTCTAAGTTGAAGTAAAAGCATATCATTTGATGACAATTCTTGCAAAGTCTTAAAACCTGTGTGACGAGTATAGTAGGTTTTATGGCATTCATTTGTAGTACGAAGCTGGACTTCAACTGAACATGGATCCATCATTCTTGATTCTAGCAAATTTTCCCTGTTTTATTTTGTCTAGAGATCTAGGTCATGGGCTGATCACCCAAAGTCCTATAATAGACATTTAATAATCAAACACAAGCATTCCCTGGAAAGTCAGAACTTCACGAGAACACCTTAGCTTTAGTTCTCCTCCGCCCAGCTTCGGGCAGGATCCGCGTCCACACAGGACACACTCGACCGCCCGCTTCCCAGCCAGTCCCCACGCTACCACTGGTACTGAAGATTTTTTAGAAATCACCCTCATGTACTCTAAGGCACAGCTGAAATTAGATTTTTAAATGGCTCTTTTACAAATGTATATAATATATGCATGTATATTTGCATACATGCTCATTTCTGTATTTATGAAGATTGAAGGCAGCCTCTCAAGACTTAGTTCCAACTGTGATGGTTAAAATGGAAAAAAAAATAGGCAAAAAGGCACTGCTCTAAAATGTAAAGAAAATAAAATTAATGCAAAGAAAAAAATTAGAATGGATATATTTTCCTTAAAATTATGACTCTGACAATTGAAAAAATAAATGAGATCGAATTTTTAAAAATTATGATATTTAACATGGCAGGGGTAAGAATAAAGAGAAAAATGCCAGGTGTGGTGACGTGAGTCTGCAGTGCCAGCTACTAAAGAGGCTGAGGATCATTGGAGCCAAGGAGGTCGAGGCTGTAGTGCACTGTGATCACACCTGTGAACAGCTATTGCACTCCAGCCAGGGCAACATAACAAGATCCCATTTCAAAGAGAGAGAGAGAGAAGACAGAAACTATGTATATCACATATTGGCTCACCAAAAAAGTTAAGCTGTAATAGAATAATACAATCATCTAAATATAATATAATATAATATATATATAACATATAACCATATAATAATCTGAAAAGCATGTTGGGTCTCTCAGCAAATGCCTTTTTCCCACCTGTTCTTGGATATTGTTCTATAATGCCTGCTTTTCTATCCCTTTGAATGGCTCCTTTCATCCTTTAGTTGGGAACTTGGGTGGCACCTCGCAGAGCCAGGCTGGGGTAGGCACTTCTACAGGCTCTCAGTGCCCCTGGCGCATACCCATTCACAGTGGATGCACTGCGCTGTGATGTTAATAGTTGCTATTTGTTCATCTGCCTTCCACTAGACTACACCTAGCTCTAGAGGGTTGGGTGTCAACCTTTATTCATCTTTTTGTCATCTTTTAAATACAATATATGGCACATACAGTGTTTGAATATATAAACTAATGAGTCATGTCCTGTGTTATCAATATGAATTGAAATATAGCATTACATCTTAAGAGAAAATCTAGTCACTCAATATAAAAAGGTAGGCAACTTTTAGGGAGAACTGCAAGCTCAAAGCTATAAGTCTTACACCTCTATAGTATAAGTCATTTTTGTTTCACCAGTAGCATATTCATGCTTTCCACAGAAAACTAATGCTTGGTTTTGTAAGATAAAGAAACCCAAATGGAAAGGTGTGAGTTAAGTATGGAAAAGCTAATTCACAATGTGATTTAAATCATAAAGGAATGATCTCCTGACCTATGGAACTCCTTCTATTCAAGCAGATATGAATCCACACTATAACTAAAGAGATCTCCAAGTGTGAGACCTGATGGGATAGAGGGGGAAAAGGACACACGCATGGATTTGAAAACAGAGTGTAAATAGCAGCCACCCTAAAACAGTAGTCAGTTTCTTATTTTTACTCATCTTCTAGTTTCAGCAGCTCTGCCTTCATCCTCTCTCAGTTCTGGTTTGCTTGTCAAAGCAACCTTACTGGAGAGCAATGGGCATATTCACAGGAGGAAGAGCCCTGGTGACCACAGACAGCCTGCTCCCCAAGAACCTACCTGCCTGCAGGGAACCTGTCAGGCCAGGGAGGAAATTCTAGGCACAGAAAAACAGCAGAGTATGTTCACTTCCAGTAAGCCACTGAAATCTGTGCCTAAAAAACCTCAGAAGCAAAATAAATGACCTCATATGGCCATTATGGCAAGGGACAGAAACAAGTCTGAGTTGAAAGAATGTAAACAATAGCAAAAGACTTTTGAAAACCAACTTCCAGTACATTTCACAAATTTGGGCTTTGGAATAAGAATAATAAAGGGATGAGATACAGGGGCTGAGTCCCCAGTTGAAACATTAACTCTTACAAAACGCAGTACAACTTTAAGAAGTTACAGGTCATCTGCTGGGAAAAATTTGATACCCTGTCAGTCTAGTTTTAGAATACCCAGGCACTCTGTACACACACATGCTGACCAGGCATTTAATCTTTTCAAGGTACATCGTTCACGTAATTTCAAGAGAGTAACCTGTTTTAGCAAGTTTACATAAATGGACATCAAAGTAAAGGAGGGGTTGGCACCTGCTTCCTTGCCCAGTATTCTAGAAGACAATGACTGTACAATCTCTAAGTGCTCTAGTCTCAGCTTCCTGCAAAGATAGTCCTGTGATCCAGGTTCCAGTGATTATATGACAAATATTGCAGTTGCTAACCTTTCACAAGGTCCTTAGGTAATAAGAGAAAAATCAGACACCTCAGCACATGCTTTCCTGGCAGAAGCCTGGTAGCATCTGTCTGTAAGTTCAATGGCAGCATAATTTTAACAGAGAAGGCAGTTAAGTGCCCTGGCAGTGTATAATCTCATAACTTTTCATGTAAAAAAGAACCATATGTTTACTGTCCTTGCATTTTCTCGGTAGTAAAATGTAAGCTGTACTATCACTCCACTCGTATATACTTTTCCTCCAGTGCCACATTAAACTGTGATTGATTGCAAAAAAAAAAAAAAAAAAATTGCCTGAATCCTCAGGCTAGCATTTATTGTTACTTAAAACTTAGCCCTATGTTTATATTGTATCATCAAATCCTAAATTCTGCTTCATAATCCACCTGCAAAATTCATAAAGGTATGCAAGAGACCGTGGTATTATAGTGACATCCATTCAAATCCGGGCCATGGACACAGGGCCTGGGGTACCTAGCTGTTTCTCCCGTTCCTCACGTCGCTCCCGGGCCAGCCGCTGCCGGTCATCAACACGTAACACAGGCGGAGGGTCTGAAAACGAGATTAAAAAAACATGAGATGAAGAGTGGATTAAAAAAAACGAAAAAGAAAAAATACACATTGATAAATATTCAGTAAATTTGAAGAATAAAATATTGCTACACTTTACAACAATAAGTACATGTGACTAGAGTTACAATGATCCACTCAGTTATTACAAGTTTTCTAAGGACTTCCAAGCATTTTTCCTCTATTTGAAAACATCATGTAAATCATGACATAACTATAGCCTTTTGGCTATTTTCATCAAACAATATAAATGATGTTTTGTGTTCCTAAGCTACCAAACTTCTATTATTTTTACGCTTTAAAAAGTCTGTTCCTTAACGACCAACAGAATCCTTAAGTGGCTTTATATTGAACAAATGTTTGCCAGTTAGAGGTGAAGTGCTCGAGTCCAACAGACATGCATTCAGTTTCTGCCCCATCACTCGCCAGCCAAGGTACTTACCTACCTCTCTAAGTCTCAAGCTATGAGGTGTACTTTGATTTATTACCTGTAAAATGAGGATCTAATAGAGCCTATTTTGCATTATTATAGTGACTGTTAGTGGAGTGTGTAGTGTGTATGTCCCAGTAAAAAACTGAACATCTACTATGTGCTCCAGGCACTGTTCTGTATACTGAAAAGACAGCAGTCACCAAAAGAGACAAAAACCTGAGACTTGGTGGGATTTATATTCTACTTGGGAAAAAATCTGACAAAGAAGATAAATAAGTACTATACATAGAATGAAAAAGGAGAAAAATACAGAGAATATTAGACTGAGATAAACGTTAAGGAGACAATAAAGAGATGAAGGGGATTATGACATGTCAGGAAAAGGATGTTTAATTTTTCAGATGGAGCCCAAGGAAGGCCTTACTGTGATAATGATGTTCTATAGAAAGTAAGTGCAAAGGCCCTGAGGTTGCAAGTACCTAATGTGTTCCAGAAACAACCGGGCGATCTGAGGGACTGGAACAGAGTGAGATGAGTAAGTGACGGGGCTTATGGTTAAGGTGAGGACTTTGCATTATACTCTGAGTGAGACATGGGTGGAGAAGACGGGTTCTGCAGCAGAGGGCTACGTTTACAGGCTCACTCTGCTGCCATATAAAAACAAAATAATAAAAATGATCATCATGATACTCATGCTTAAAATTAGGTTTATTTTTCTCTTTACTAAGTTGACATTAGAATTGATGTTGACAGGCTGTGCGCGGTGGCTCACGCCTGTAATCCTAGCACTTTGGGAGGCCGAGTGGGTGGATTGCCTGAGCTCAGGAGTTCAAGACCAGCCTGGGCAACATGGTGAAACCCTGTCTCTACTACAAAATACAAAAAATTAACCAGGTGTGGCAGCGTGCACCTATAGTCCCGGCCATTCAGGAGGCTGAGGCAGGAGAATGAGAATGGCTTGAACTTGGGAGGCGGAAGTTACTGGAAACCGAGATTGCGCCATTGCACTCCAGCCTGGGCAACAGAGCAAGACTCCGTCTCCAAAAAGAGAAAAAAGAATTGACGTTGACATTTTTAGAATCTCATGTTAAAAATGGGAATCTACTATAATAATAGAGACAAACTGAGTGCAGTGGCTCACACCTGTAATCCCAGCACTTTGGGAGGCCGAGGCGGGTGGATTACCTGAGGTCAGGAGTTCAAGACCAGCCTGGCCAACATGGCAAAACCCCATCTCTACTAAAAAATACAAAAATTAGCTGGGCATGGTGGCACATGCCTGTAGTCCCAGCTACTCAGGAGGCTGAGGCAGGAAAATCACTTGAACCTGGGAGACGGACGTTGCGTTGAGTTGAAATCACATGTCACTGTGCTCCAGTCTGGGAGACAGACTGAGACACCATCTCAGAAAAAAAAAAAAAAAAAAAAATTACAGTAGAGACAAATAGTAGTGCTTTGGCAACAAACTTAAAGGTCTGCATCCCAAATGTCTTTTTTTGTTTTTTCCTTTTGAGACAGTCTCGTGTAGTCCAGGCAGGACTGCTGTGGCACAAATCATGGCTCACTGCAGCCTTGACCTCCTGGGTTCAAGTGAATCCTCCCACCTCAGTCTCCTGAGTAGCTGAGACCACAGGTGTGCACCACCATACCTGGCTAATTTTTGTATTTTTTGTAGAGATGGGATTTTGCCATGTTGCCGAGGCTGCCAAATGTCTCTTGAACTTTACAGCATTTTTACATTTAAAGAAAATAAAAACAGTAAAGATATCCCTTAGGAGCCTGCATAAACCAGGCAGTGTGGATGAGGAACAAGACTAGTGGATGGTTTTTAAAAATTGGTTAAATGGATGCCCTCAATAGCCCACTATGATATTTTTCAGATTTCCTAATCATTTATGTACTTCTACATATTTTTTATTTGGGAAAATATGGCTCCTGGCCCTGAAGGTTTAATTTGGAAAAAAGAAAATGGAGGTGGACATGAAGACCCTCTCAGGCAATTTATTAAGGGTATCCACAGGAAGTTTTTGCTGTCATTTGTTTTTCTGAAAGAAAATGGTGGCCATAGTAAAATGGTATTTTAAAGAAAGAACTCGGGATAAAAGTCAAGATGAAGTTAAAAGAAAGACCTTTAACAATTACTTATCACTTTAATACTCCTTAAATAATATGAGGTTTACCTACTCATGAAAACTTTTTTTTTTTTTTTTAAACAGGATCTTGCTCTGTCACCCAGGCTGGAGTGCAGTGGTACGATCATGGCTCACTGCAGCCTCAATCTCCCTGGCTCAAGTCATCCTCTTACCTCAGCCTCCCAAGTAGCTGGGACTACAGGTGTGCACAACCACAATCAGCTAATTTTTTTTTTTTTTTTTTTGAGACGGAGTTTCCTCACTCTTCCTCCCCAGGCTGGAGTGCAATGGCACGATCTCAGCTCACTGCATCCTCTGCCTCCCGGGTTTAAGCTATTCTTCTGCCTCCGCCTCCCAAGTAGCTGGGACTACAGAGGTGTGCCACCACGCCCAGCTAACTTTTGAGATGGAGTTTCCTCGCTCTTGCTGCCCAGGCTGGGGGCGGGATCTCGGCTCACTGCAACCTCTGCCTCCTGGGTTTAAGCGATTCTCCTGCCTCCGCCTCCCAAGTAGCTGAGATTACAGGCATATGCCACCAGGCCCAGCTATTGTATTTTTAGTAGAGATAGGGTTTAACCATGTTGGTCAGGCTGGTCTCAAACTCCTGACCTCTGATGATCCACCAGCCTCCCAAAGTGCTGGGATTGCAAGCGTGAGCCAGCATGCCCGACCTCGGCTAATTAATTTTTTTTTTTTTTTTTTTGGTAGAGATGGGCTCTTACTATGTTGCTAAGCCTGGTCTTGAACTCCTGACTTCAAGCAATCCTCTTGCCTCAGCCTCCCACAGTGCTGGGATTACAGGCATAAACCGCCGCACCCAGCCTCATAAAAACTTTTATTTAATTATAAAAGTTGAAAATCAATGTTGTAAAAGTCATATGAGCACATTATGGAAAGTCTGTAAAATAGACAGTTTAATTACTTTTAAAATTCCACTGACAAATTCTGTTAGACAATATTTCAATATGAAGTATGTGACATGTCTAGCTTACTTTTAAGTACATGCCAAATTTCATACAAAATTTTGAAAAGAAGGCTTTAATAACATATGGGACAAATGCTACCCCCGGCAACCCACACCAACCCTGACAGCCCCAAGTCATAGTAATAACTGGTGCTCCTGCAGTAATGAGGCAATGCCCAATTATGCAACGTAATGCTTCCCCCTGCAAAGTGCCTTTTGAATGTATATTCTGAAAACAGTGCAAGAAGTGCTAGTTTTTCCCTGATTTCTATGCTATTGTTTCATATGAAAATTATATTCTTAACATGTAACAAACTGCATCCTGTTTCATAAGATAATATGTAAACAACCAAACTTTTATACAATTAAACGCTGTAAATAAGGCCAATGCTTATGACTGCAGTAGTTCCTGGCTGTCCATCAACATTAGTGCTGAAATAATTACTATCTATCTGGAAATAGATTTGAGGAAGTAAAGAAATGTAACATTTCTGAAGTTCAAGATGCATAGTGGCTGTGATATACTAGATGATTTTGGTTGGTTTGGAAACCTGGCATTAGGAAATACTGAATTGTAGAGTGAAAAAGTTATTCAGTGTAGGTTGTTTCCATCCTTCTGTTCCCATTAATACGAAAGTCTCTTGGGTGCTAGAATGTCATTAACACCTGTGGCAGGTTAAAGATGGCTGTGCATGGGGCTGGGGAGGAACAGAGACTTGTCTGTTTTCTTCCCTGCTGCATTCTCAGTGCCTAGGGCTGCATGTGGCAGAAAAGGATATTCAATAAGTATTTGTTGAATGAATGAATGAACAATGAGCAACCTTAGCTAACCCTCAGAGCCTTTAAACTTCTATTAAGATGCACCAATGGGAAAAACTAAGAACAATCTTGTAGCTGATAACGGAGTAAACTATTTAAATGCTAGACATTTAAATTTTAGTTTTAATAACTAAAAACTGATAAAAATTTATCTTTAAAGGTAGGTTTTCAAAAACATACAATTAAATAATTCCAGTAAGTAGTGAATGTCCTATAATTCATTGCCTCCCTTCTCATTTCCACCCCCACATTATTTTTCCCTGAAACAAAAGGTATAGAAAATACTTTAAAATTATGTATAGGTCAGCCAGGCACGGTGACTCACACCTGCAATCCCAGCACTTTGGGAGGCTGAGGCAGACGAATCACTTGAGGTCAGGAGTTCAAGACCAGCCTGGGCAACATGGCGAAACCCTGTCTCTACTAAAAATACAAAAATTAGCCAGGCACGGTGGTGAATGCCTGTTATCTAAGCTACTTGGGAGGCTGAGGCAGGAGAATCGCTTGAAGTCGGGAGGCGGAGGTTGCAGTGAGCCGAGATCGCACCACTGCACTCCAGCCTGGGTGACAAGATGAGACTCCGTCTCAAAAGAAAAAAATTATATATAAGTCAGGCACAGTGGCTCACTCCTGTAATCCCAACACTTTGGGAGGCCAAGGCAGGAGGATTGCTTGAGTCCAGCAGCTTGAGACCAACCCAGGCTCATTTGAAAAAGGGAGACCTCATCTCCACCAGAAATAAAAAAAAAATTAGCCAGGAGTGATGGCACATGCTTGAGGTCCCAGCTACTCAGGAGGCTGAGGTGACAGGATCGCTTGAGCCTGGGAGATCCAGGTAACTGTGAGCCCTAATTACACCACTGCACTCCAGCCTGGGCGACAGAGTGAGACCCTGTCTTGAAATAAAATAAAATAATGTATATTCTACATTGTTTCCCAATGGATCTAATATGGTTAGAATAAAATTAAGTTACCAATTCTCACAAGGAAAAAGGCTTTAAGAGGAATAGAACTTAGGCTTAAGTAAGATCGCAGTTGCACTCCACATTCAACCTCCTACCTATGATGGTTCAAGTGTGGGGTGACATCTAACCTGGGGCACTGTTAAGGGTGAAAGGGAGTGCCATTAAAATTCTGTGTTTGATGATATGCATAAACCTGGATTGCTTTACACACATCTGAGAGTATGGTCATGCTACTAAAGAGCTCTCAAAGTTGACAAGGCGTTTACAAGAACTCACTAGGCCTTGACTCATATGTAACAACTACTATTTCTACAGTAAATACTTCTGTATTTCTGTTAGCAATTTGTACTTTATGAAGCACTTTCACATATTATCACTTTATTCTTCCCAATAACACTATGAATTAGCCAAGCATTTATTTATTCAATGAAGAGTTACTATGCCTCTTCTTCAAATGAAAAAACTCAGAGAAATAGATATGACTAATGAAGATAGCAAGGACATGTGTCAGAGCGAGGGCATAAAACCCGATCTCTAATTCAGTCCTGTGCCCATCCATGCACCATGGCAGCTACAGTCATTACAATTGCACAGTGTAGCATCAGAGAAGGGCTGGAAGATTCGAAGTCATGCATGCCTCTATGAGGGCAATTTACTTATAAACAATAAGACAGAATAAAGTTTCAGTGGCTCTTTTAAAGACTTCTGTTGGGGGACAGCAAAGGGATAGGAATTCAGAGGGATTTTTAATGAATTTTGATATCTGCTTTTCTCAGGTCCATGAAAACACGCAGTTTTCTAAGGAAGTCAAACTATTAATCATTTGGAGGCAGCTGGAGTTCTGAAGAACCACCTCCCACTTCTTCAGGAATTAGTAGATGTGGACAGATCTGTGACTTTACAAACTGTCTGATTTGGTCTGGGTTCAAGTATTCACATTTGGGAGCAATGGTCCTTCCAGGATAACGCAGAACATAGTGTGCTCATGGTTCTAAAACACCACGAGGCACTTCCGTAATGTGCTTTTTTGTTTGTTTGTTTTTTGAGACAGAGTCTCGCTCTGTTGCCCAGGCTAGAGTACAGTGGCGGATCTCGGCTCACTGCAACCTCTGCCTCCTGGCTTTAAGTGATTCTCCTGCCTCAGCTTCCTGAGTGGCTGGGGTTATGGGTGTGTACTACCATGCCCGGCTGATTTTTGTATTTTTATTAGAGATGGGGTTTCACCATGTTGGCCAGGCTGGTCTCGAACTCCTGGCCTCAGGTGATCTACCTGCTTTGGCCTCCCAAATTGCTGGGATTACAGGCGTGAGCCACTGGCGCCTGGCCAGCCATAATGTGCTTTAAATATAAAAGTCACAACTTGAATGTGGAGAAATGTCTTCTAAATCATAGAGATGTTCTGGAGCCTTCTAACGAGTTTAAGTATCAGACGGTAAAAGAGGAAAGGACATTTAGCCAAAACTTACTGGGTTAAAAAGGATTCTCCGAAATCATTCAGTCAGGATGCCCATACCTGGTTAGGATAATACTCAAAATATCCCAAATACATAATGAACTTTTTTTCCCCCAAGTTCTAGAAAATGAAAATCAACAAAATGCTTTAGACAGACATTCCCATGACCTGTATTCCACAAAAATTAAAAGGTATTACTCAAGGCCAGCCCTCCAACACATAACTCATATTATCCTTTGGAGAGACTCAGGAAAATAATGACATGGTGGCTTCTAAATCAAGAGCCTTTTATAGAGCTTGGCTTATCTGTATATACAAGAAAACAGACACAGGGATGCTCAAAAAGACACAATCAGAAGTGAAATGTCTCCCTATTTAACTTGACTTTAGCAATATAAATCAAATGACTGTATATAAGGAGATGGCCAATTAGGGTGGAAGAGGTTTTTCTGGCTTCTGATCTCTATACACTGTGTGCAATCTCTCATCACACTGGTGGTTCTGTGTTAGAATGACTTATTCATGTATTGGTTTATCTATCATACTGTCAACTGGAGGGTAGAGATTATGTCTTTTAGTAATATATTCCTAGTACCTTCATGATGCTAACACTAGATGAATAAATGAGTTATCAGGATATAAAAGTATAAACTGCACAGTAAAAAAAAAAAAAAAAAGTAGAAATTAGAAGCAGTGGTGGATGGGGAGAACCAGAGAAATATAGCACCAACAATTAAGCTATGTTAAATTCTCATTGTATAACAAATGTGATTTTCTTTTATTTTTTTAAAACACATTTATTCATCTTTTTAACCCTCGTGGCTCAGCACAGGGCCTGACACACAGTAGGCACTCAACAAATATTTGACTTCCAAAGCATGACCATTCATGCATCCATAATCCTCTTTTTACAGTATAAAGAAGGCTGATATTCAGGCCCCAATGTGTATCTAAAGTAATATATATTTCCCAATAAGCTCTACTATTTAAAGGTGAGAAACAGTTCTAGTGTTCAATTTCAAAATCAAGAAGACATTCCGGTGAGTGTATCACGTGTTATTAAAAGACAAATACCAAAGCATATTTGCCTGTGCACCACTGCCTCTTCCCTTTCCTTCATTTTCTCTGTCCATATGAAAGCAAAGGCTTTATTATAGTTTTCACCAACTGTAAGAGCCCTGGACAATTTTTGATAATGTAAGGGCTTTTTACTTCAGTTTTTGTCACATATTAAAGCTGTATGTCAAGACTGAAGATTATCCACTATCTTCTCTTCTATCTCTATGTATTTTTCTATTTCTTCCTCTGATAGCTATAACTTGGTTTCTGAGTGTCTGGCTACAATAACCACAAAGGACTGTCATGACTCAAGGATATTAGCCACCACCACTTGATGCTGATAAACTTCCAAAGCCTTCTGAGCTCGATTAATTACAATGGAGGAGTCAGTCTCCAACTTAAAGGAAATTATAAATGCTTTGGGAGCACAATCTTCAATCAAAGGGGAAAGTATTTTTGGCACCATCTTCACTGTTCTCTGCAGTGGGCCCCCAGATGACTGGATGTTGTGCTCAGGCATTTCAGAGACAGGAACATAGAAATCTGACACGACTACACCAGGTAAAACATCGCAGAAGGGCTGGTCACACCTCCAGTGGGACCTTGGTGCCACCTGACGTGACCAACACCACCCGCTGGCCCTGTGCACCCAGCCCAGTCACGAAGCGGGCCATAACCTCAGCACAGCACCGGAGGCCAGGGAAACTCAGCTACGAGGTCTGTTTCCACCATCGGCCCAATAAATGTGCTTTTCATGCTAAAGAACTTCTACCTGCATGGAGACACACTTGAATACGAAAATAAAGGTCCACTAGAATACGCTACATGGGGACAGGGTTCATGTTGTTTGCTCATGCAGTACATCTCTCATGCTTCTTTGGCATAGAAGAACTCAGTAAACATTAGATGGTAGCTGGAAGGTGAGTGGCTAGATGGATGGATAAATGACTCAATGAAAAGGCAGGCTGACTAAGGAAATCTCTGTTTGGTAATTAAAACTCCTCTGAGGCTGCACATCATTTTCCACTAATGGCAGCTTAAGCAATATTTTCAACAATACTTGTTATTGTCTTTCCTCTAAATGACAAAGCAGATTTGTCCGTTGTGTTCAAGACCTTTTCCACATGAAAAAAAAAAATTCACAAAACTAAACACAGTAGAATATTCTCTATAAGGTTAGACTCAGTTATTTCCATCTTTATTCTCACTGATTCACTGTGCTTGAGTGACTTCAGTACTGGATGCAGCATGAAATAGGTTTCCAAGAACCTCCTGGGGTATTTGGTTTGCTTTCCTTTCCTTTGATTGTCTCTTATTATCATACCATACATTCATTCCTTCCACAGGTCACGCAATGGTTACTGGATATCTGGAAGCAACCGCAATGTCGGTTCAATTGTTTGTATTATATTTATAGACTGTTAGATTATTTGTATCACTGAATGAAAGAGACTATGAATCAGAGGCTATTACATGAAATTACTGTGTAGGCATACAATCATTGCAAGGAATAGCAAACAAAGCCATAATTCTATACAAGCTTTGCTATGTGTAAAGATTTCTTGAAATAGTTTTTGAAAAAGTCACAAAAGAGATAACGCGATAATGCCTGTTGGACACACAGGTATAAAAAATTGTGTCCTATCATTTGAAACAGAATAGTAAAATTATTACCCCTTTAAACTGCTTGACATTAAATGAGTGCATCCACATACATCATCTCATTGATTGTCAAAATGACTCTGAGAAGTAAGCAAGACGTGTGTTTGAATCTACATTTTAAAGAGAGAAAACCAAGGCTTGGCTTTGAGAGGTTCTCTGACTTAATATCATATAAGCCAGTAGGAGTGTGTGTTTGGTGGCAGGACTGAAACTAAACTCTCCTAAATTCTAGTTTTCTGAAAACTAGAATTTAAACAAATTAAACCTTTATAATCGTCAGCATGCCTTTAGGGCATAAAAGATAATCTTTATTTTCCCACAATTAATGCAATGCATCATACCTGGTTTATTTCCTGAGTGGTTGTTATTTTGTCCTGAAATTGCAGAGGCAGGGCGGTTGGAGGCATTTTTCTTATCTTGCACTTTATAGCTGTCGGGTGCTACAGAAATGAGACAAAAGAGAAAAGATACATTTAGTTTCTTAAAATTTCTTCAGAAACATTTACGTATTCGACATTTACTGTTAACCTATGTACCAGGTTCTTAGGCTAGATTAAGGAAATGAAAAGATGAAGTAGTTACAACCCGTGCCCTCAAGGAGTAGGAAGGATATATAAAAAATCAACAACCTTGGCTTGAGTGACCAATCTTATAGAAGTGGCATGTTCAAGGGGCCATGAAGGGCCTTTCCCACAGCTGTACCAGTTTACGCATAAAGCAACCATGTGGAAGGACGACCGCAGTCTAAAGTCTTGGATCTGAGTTCTTACAAAGCACCATTGGCTTAGAATATATTTCAAATGTATTAATTTCTTTCTGCTTTGGTATATTCAACATCATTTAATCTTTCTTTGGGGTTACTGAGTCTCTGCAGTAGCCCCAGGTCCTGACAACAAACATCAACCCTAACTGAATATTATGTAACAGCAGACCATGGAGATTGAAAAGACTTCAACATATGTTCAGTACAAGTCACTTTTCTGAATCGGCCCGATAAACGCTTCTGGGGGTGGGGTGCTCGAGGGAGGCTGTAGTTTGCTTTATTATGCTGAAATTCAAATTAAAAAAAATTCAATTGAACAGGAGTTCTGGTTACTTGAACTCTAATTTATCTATATCTAACTTTTATTGGATCCACTCTAGGTGAACATCAGAGGTCTATCTGCCCACTTCATTATCGTCTGGATGTCGGGAATTCATTTCCACCTCAGAAGACCTTCTGAGTCATACTGACCACGAGACAAATGTAAAATCCATCTTAAAATTTTTCAATGCTCATATGAAATTGATAGGTTAATTTTATTTTATGTTATTTTATTTTCCAGTAAGCCTTTTGGATTAGTAACAATAGGCTAAATTTTGAAAACTAAAAATAATTTCTGAAAATTGTCAGGCTGTTTGGTCTAAGATTACATATTGCTAATTCCTAACTCGTTAGGTTGGATGTATTTCTAAAGTTTTCAGGCCATCTCTCTGCTTTCATATCACTCTTTTTCTTCTGCTATGGTTTAAGAGTCTGTATTTCTTCAAAAACTTCTTTGGTGAACACTGTAACAGCAAAAGACACAGAGAGACCTGGGTTCAAATATGAGACTTGGTACATAACCAGTTGAGTGGCCAGGAAGTTATTTGGCCTCTCTAAGTAGGTCACATGGGGTAATAATACTGCCTAACTCACAGAACTGTTGAAAGGATTATCTGAGAAGATATGTGTTAAAAATCTACCAAAAGCCTTGGCACATAGGAGGTGTTTAACAAGTATTCAAGGCCCTTTCTCCCAGCTTCTATGCTTTTCTGTGGAGTCCTGGGCATTCCATTCTCATAGCACCCATGCAGGTTTGAGTGTGTTTTGGAGTCAGCACACCTGGTTCTGCCATTTACCAGATGAATCTTCAGCATGTTGCTTAACATCTCTAAGTCTTAATTTCCCCATCTGTAAAGGGGAAAAACATCTACTTTCAGAGCTGTAAAAATTAAATGAGATAATGTACAGAAAGGTAGATCATTGCCTGGCCCACAGCAAGGCACGACAAATGGTAGAAAGTATTTTTAGCTCTCTTCAGGAAACTGGGCTTCTGGTTCCTCAGGGATTTGAGAGAAAGCAAACCCATGTTAACTTGGTGACGGGGTCCTGGGGGCAAGTGACTAATGTGGCAGAAAAGTCTGGGTCAGCAGCTGGCTCCAGAAGTTTTCAGCTCAGCCACAGTCATACCTCCTGGGGCTCTTAGGTAGGGTGAACTTATTGATATAATTTTTAGAGTATGGCCTGGTTTGGGAAGAGGTAATTAGTCTTTCTGTTTCAGGGTTTGGGGGAGATGACAGTTTTCTAAGATTTGATGCTTTTCATTATATTAAGTAAATCTGAGCCTTAAAAAAAAACCCTCAATAACATTGGGAAAATAAAACAGGGAGTTTTTTGTTTTTTAAACAAAGTGCAGGGGATTTCACTACTTAAGAACACAATGACAAGAGGAATTTATTCATTTTCTGATTTCCAAAATTTAAAAACCTGAAAATCCTCATTAACGAGAAGATAGGATTGTATATACCCTTATAAAGGTTCTCATGAAAAAAAATTAAAATGATTCAGGTGACTTTCCAGTATTATTTATTTGAATCTCTCTTCTTTCATTTAAAAAAAAAGAAAGAAAATTAAGCCATATACTATGATGCTCAGTAAGTCTTTGCTAGCCTTATGTAATCTTTATTGACCATCCTGCTAGCTTGAAAGCTGTATTCCATTAGTGTCACATGTGAGTGTTGAGGTAAAGACAAGAGGAAGGATACAGACAAGCACCCTGGTGGTCTGGGACTCTCTTTCCGACATACTCCGCAACAAAATACAGAGGCATCAGACATTTGGAGCCTTCATCTGGTGAAAATTCTGTAGCTCCAGTAAGTGCTGCAATGTGTACTGTGCAATCCACATCCTCTACCACTCACTGATTCATTCCAACATCTTCCCATAAAGGCCTTGGTGTTCTCACGGCTTTGTTTCTACTTCTGGCTGTATGGTCCAATACAGTCTTCTCTCAACTGCTGAAAATAATTGGTCCAACAAATGACCTGTCAATTTAGTCAAAATACTTGCTCTGAGACACTTCTGACTATAACCTTTGCACCATCCTGTTTAAATCTCACTGAATAATATGGGGACTTGACATCCACAAGGATAATGTATTTCAGTCACTCTTTTTAATAAAATCTGCAATGTGGGCTGTGATACAGCAAAAGCTTAAACTCAGTTTCCAGCTCTGTATAGTCCCTTATCCATGGGGGACTACTAGGTTCCCAAGACCCCCCATGGATGCCTGAATTTGTGGGTAGTACTGAACCCTATATACGCTATGTTTTTTGGATCTACAGAGACAGTTCCTATGTGATTTACAGGTGGGCAGCAACTACAGTGTGCATCCACTGGACAAAGGAATGATTCACATCTCAGGCTGGACAGAGCGGAAGGGCATGAGATTTCATCACACTACTCAGAAGAGCATAAAATTTATGAATTTTTTTTTTCTGAAATTTTCCATTTAATATTTTTGGACTACAACTGACCGTAACTGAAACCTCAAAAAACAAAATCATGGATAAGGAGGAACTACTGCATACATGCTTTTCTGCTACAGTCTTTAATTGGACTTTGTGGGCATACAGCCCCTCTGCGGACATATACTTGTGGGGACACAGCTTTGGGGGAGTGACCTAGAACACAGAACTAGAGGTTGAACCACATGAAATAGCCTTTTATGTAGTGAAAAATGGTTAAAATTTAACAACTTTTAATGTTTCAATCTAACAGTTTAAATAAATCTGTATAGAAAAGAGTTACCATATCAGGCCTGAGATCGCTGTTCTTATTATTTTGTATATATTTATATATATTTATTCTTTAAATTTATTTATTCGAATATACCTGCCAGGAGTATTGTAACACTCGAATTATAGGTATGAAGTGCTTTATCCAATGTGATTTATAAAATTTGCATTAGAACAAGAAGGAAATAAAGCAACAGCATCACTCCTAATGACTTTCCTGATTATTCCATGTAATAGAGAATTTCTCCTCAGTTTAAAATCCTCATAATTATAAGTGAAGTTGGGTAGCAGTGGTCAAAGCTCAAGGGAGTTAGCATCAGGCAAACCTGGATTTCATTTCCAGGTTTGTTTGTAAAACTCTAATCATAGGTATGAAGTGTTTTATTCAATGTGATTTATAAAATTTGCATTAGAACAAGAAGGAAATAAAGCAACAGCATCACTCCTAATGACTTTCCTGATTATTCCACATAATAGAGAATTTCTCCTTAGGTTAAATTCCTCACAATTACAAGTGAAGTTGGGTAGCAATGATCAAAGTTCATGGGAGTTAGCATCAGACAAACCTGGATTTCATTTCCCACACTACCTCAGTTTTCTTCCTATTTGTATTTATTCAAACAGTACACTACTCTATGGGACATCTTGAGCTCGATGCTGGAAGAAATATTAGGTGCGTAATTATCTCCTTCTACCACTTCTTTTTCCTTTTCTTGTCCTATGTTTCTAGGTTACACTGTATTCTGGAACTTCCAATTCCTCCAACACTATCTCCTTTCTTCAAAAATCATGTCCCATTATGTCCTGAAATACTATCTGTACATCAATCACTGTCGAGTATGCATTTATAAATATGTGCTCTCAACAAAGTTCCCGTCGTCAACGTCTAGGGAATATCTGCTCATGTATTTCTGCTATCACTTGAACGTCCTCACAAAAAAGCCAATCCCCTAATGTCAGTCTCTTTGTCACTATCAACAGAACCACCAGGCTCAGAAATGTTAAGTCATTTTAATTAATTAAGTAATTTTTTCAACATTTAAAAATACCCCCATAGACCAGACACTGTGCTACACAGTGAGAATACAAAGGTCATATGACATGGCATCTGCTTTCAAGATGCTTACCATCCTTTGGAGGAGAGACAGTGGGCACATACATGAAATTGCAACAATGGATCGATTCAATTTTCTAAAAAATCCATAAACCCACAGAGGTTTAATAACCAAACAAATGATATGGATAGTGTTACAAGAATTCGGAGTGGGAGAAGGAGCCACAAGGGACAGTAGTCCCTGGGCAAAGAGCTTGCAGACCAGAAAGCATCCAGATAAGTGAAGAGTAACGTGAAGAAATTCCCTTACCAGGGTGGAGCATGAGCAAAACTACCACGGCAAAGGGACAGGAGAGATAATTGGTACTGTCTAGTCAGAACAGCAGGTTTAGGAAGGGAGGCAGTCGAAGATATGACAAGAGAAACAGGCTAAGGTCAATGTCTCTTTGAATTCTGAGAGTGTGGACTTTTTCGTGAAGGCAATGGAAAGTCACTGAAGTATATACCACATGGAACTTCCAGCTGTGAACTACTTTAGCTTCAGTGGATTCTGTATAAATGAACAGT